AAAACACTCTTAAAAAGTTTGGCTAAACACTAATTGTTGCTTAAATGTTTTTTTCTCCAAACACAAAATGCTTCTTACAAGAAGTACTTTTTTGAAAACCGCTTTTAGAAAAAACACTCTTCAAAATAAGCTGATTTTAAAAGTATGGCCAAACATGCTATTGATCCGCTTGCAGTTGATCTCAGTTTGGTAGTCAGTTTATCTCTCGTTCTCAAGTAATAACGTTTGCTCCAAAGTACTAAACAGTAATTATAAAATCTATACTACAAATTTGAAGTTAATTTGAGTTTAGTCATAGATGTATCTGCTGTTCTTAGAGTAAGAATGTGCAAAGAAGTAAGCTGTTATTATACAAATTATGCTCATCTTTAAGTAAAATGGAGTTAATTATCTTTATCTCGTCATAGTAATAATGCATTCATGGCAGAATGGAGGCATATTATACAAATTTGTCTCCAATTGGGAAGTTTACTGTGTTTAGTCATACTGATTCTGTTGTTAGAGTGTTAATGAGCACGCCGGATTTGTGATTGTTTTAGGAATTCAACATTGAGAAGCTGCAGCTAGTGGAAGCAGAGAAGAAGAAGATCAGACAGGAATACGAGCGTAAGGAGAAACAAGTTGATGTTCGCAAGAAAATGTAATTTCCCCAATTTGGTTTGTATAGCAGTTTTCATCCGTCTTTGACACCAGTCATTAAAAAAAGATTATGCAATAAATTATGGTATGAGTAAAATTTAAAATCACAGATCTGTCTGGATTTGTGGTCTTCCGAGGCTCTCACACACATATTACAAACATAAAACAGATATCAAAATTGTGTTTAAATTTACTTGGAAGTTGGAGTTGTTCAAGTGGTTTTATTTGTTTCTCCGTGATTATGAGGTTGAACAGACAAAAATGTAATACTGTTATCATAACTGTAATAGCTATACCTTCATTTTGCATGACATCATCAGTCTATATTCAGTGGATAGCTGTATGATCTATGGTTTCAGTTGACCACTTCTATAAAAAAGATCTATGTTTGCAGTTGAGTAGTATCCTTTATCTTTTCAGTATGTCGAGGTTTCTTCTTGTTTAGCTCCATTTATTGGCACTTGAACTGCAAATTAAGTCTGTATCTTCATTGATGAATATTCTATATTGCTCATTTTATTGGGCATTGATTGGATAAAACATTTCTGGTAACATCTGTATTTGCGGGAGTGTTTTGGCCTTGACATATGCTAAAAGTCATATTCCCTATTATTTGTGATGTCCTCTTTACTTCTGTATTTTTCTTTTTTAAATTGCTTTGATGTGCGTTACTCGAGCCGACAGTCTACTGGAACAGCCCTTCCAAGACCCCACCTATGGGATTTACACTGGGCATGTTGTTGTTATATCAAGTAAAAATTTTCTGAACAACTGAAGTAATTCGTACAGTCGATCCAACTGATCTTAATTGATAGACTTTTTAAGTGACTCCACTTGGCCTATACAAACCTTCTTTTAACGTATGTCATTGTATAATTAGTCTAAAGTTGACTCTCTAAAATTGTTTTGCTGCTATTATTATGTGAACACAACATTTTCTGTGGCTAAAGTAATCCAATTTCAATTTTGTTTGGGCAAAGTAGAGTGTTTAAAGTTTCTTGATAATGTATTTGCAGTGAGTACTCCATGCAACTCAATGCCTCTCGAATCAAGGTTCTTCAAGCTCAGGATGACTTGGTCTGCTCCATGAAGGAGGCAGCATCAAAGGAACTTTTAAATGTCAGCCATCACCACAACCACCATATCTATAAGAAGCTTCTGCAAGCTCTTATTGTTCAGGTACTTTGGCTGACAGCAATTAGCTGCATGAGTTTTCTGTCACCGCCTCCCCTTTTTCCTCTTACTGGAGTTGGCAGAACAAACTTTGTATCGTAGAAAATGAGCAGGCTATTTTATGAAAGACAATCTATTTTCATATGACTTCTCATGTGATTTCTTGTATGAAGTTCTGATTGTGCATTAGAATGGTTAGATGTGAAGATATATTGTAGGAGTGGTTGCAATTAAAGATACTAGAGTATCATTTGAATAGCCTGAGCCTGAAATGAAATCTTTTATTGCTTCTACCCTTCAAGTTGGATTCTTTGGAAGTTGATGTTTTATTTTCAGAATCTCAAGCTGGTTAACATTCTTTTAGGGATAATATGAAGGTTATCACATTTTCTTAGAAACTGTTGAGTGCTGTGCCGAAGTTGCTACAAAGATCGTGTTTTTCTCTACATTTCTTGATGACTTTTGGGACTTATATCGCTTCCTTCTTTAGGCATAACTTAAAAGCAACTCTTTGTGCTGCAGAGTTTGCTCAGACTTAAAGAGCCTTCTGTCCTACTACGTTGCCGGGAAGATGATGTTTCCTTGGTTGAAGATGTCTTGGATGCTGCAAAGGAAGAGTATGCAGAGAAGTCTCAAGTTCACGCACCTGAGGTCATAGTTGACCAGATCTACCTTCCACCAGCTCCATCACATCACAATGCTCATGGCCCTTCCTGGTACACTGCCTCATTTGTTCTTACTTTCAGTAGGAAACTTTAGAAAGCTCTTAGTTCTCAAATTGGCGCTCCATTAGATGGAGATGACTCATGTGCAGTTGGACTTGGATTGGCCTTTTGTTTCTCTTGCTTACCGTGCATCATTGCTCTTCGGAGGAAGTTAAAGCACTCAAGCTTGTAGAATCTAATTAGGTACCATTACTGATCTCTCTCTCTCTCTCTCTTTCTATGCCACAGTTCTGGAGGAGTAGTTTTGGCTTCTCGAGATGGGAAAATTGTATGTGAAAATACACTTGACGCCAGATTAGAAGTTGTGTTCCGTAAGAAGCTACCAGAGGTACTTTCTGCTCCTCAGTCCTTTTGTACTTTTGGAAAATTTCTTATTGATGTTGTCAAATTTCTATTTTGACATTCATGGTTCCACCCATGTTTTACATACTTGTGGTCCACCTATTAACTTTTGCTCTCTGTAATAGTTCCCTTCTACTTTTAGATGTCAATCAAATGAGCTACAAACTCTTACATGTTCCTTGCTATGATAGGCATCTTAGTGGATTAAATTTTCCCCAGCAAGTTATAGACATCACATAGTACTTTCAAGTTTCAACTAAGTTATAGACAATTAGACATTGTCTACCTCTTACCAAATACGGTTTACAACTTTATCATCTTCTTTATGTTGTTCCTGGTACAGAACTTAGGTAGTGATGGGGGAAAGTCTGTTGCTTACTAGTGTCTGATGAAATTTGCGCCACCCCGCCAAACCACAAATAGGTAATTCAGCCTGTTTGAGGTAGGGAAACACTATGACTTAGATAAATCAACAGTCTTCCTAAGAAGTATGGGTGAGAGCACGAGGAGATCTCCTACTTTTAGCTATAGGCCTATAGTAATTTGGTAATAGGGCTTATAAGCATGCACTACTTATTTCCTCCCATATATGTAAGCTATCATGACAAAGTTACCCGGTACCTGCGTTGGCGGGAGGTAAAAGGTATCCCAGTGGAATTAGTTGTGTGGGTGCAAGCTGGTCCGGATGCTACTGTTAATCCGTTATCAAAAAGAGAAAAGAAAACCAAACCATAACCTACTTTACTCCAGCTCCATCCTTCGATTTGTCTCCATTAGACAAGCGGGTACTGTATTTCTCAAATATTTGTTCCATTGGTTTCCAACGATTGCACTTTGCAAAATTATAGCAATAGTAATACTTCGTTTGTGTTAATCAATCTGTCTCTGCATGCAGATTCGCAAGTGTCTGTTCGGTCAAGTTGCTGTCTAGTACATGAGAAGCATTAGACTCTTGGGACTCTTGGGATTCTGAAAATGGCACCTGCTCGTATACTATTTCCTTTTTTCTCTGCCCAGTTGTGCTTATATACTATTATACACTGTGTCGGACTCATGTTAAAGGGATATTTTCTTCAACATTTTAGCATTAAGCACATGCATTATATTTTCGTTTACAATGTTGAACAACAAGTGCAAGTTACTGGAACCCTAAGCTTGCTGGGTCGAGAGAATAAAATTATTCGGAGTTGATGGCTCTCCATACTTTATTAATGGAAGTATTTGTATCTCTAAGTCAGCGCTTTATGCTTATATTAGTACTTAATTTATAATGGGGGTATGTTGTCTTGCACGAAGAGGGATATCTATGAATTGTCATGTACGAGCCAGCATTTTTTGTCCAAAAAAATAAAAATTTAAAACATTGTTTGTTTATACCTTTCATTGATTTTTTGGAAATTTTTCTAAATCATTTTTTCACTCGCAAAATTTTATTTTTATCCAATCTAAATGTATGCCTGAATAGTAAACACAATTGGAATTGTAAATGTCTATTGGGGAAGAAAAATAATTAAAATTTCTATTTCTAAAATTTTTAAAGGTGTAGTGGTAGATTACTGAATAACAGAAGCAAAATTGTCTAACAAAACTGCGGAATACTAACGTATTAAGCTGAGTTAGGCAGATCTTATTATCTGAACCAAACATTATATGTAATTAATATAAATATAAGTTACATTAAAAAATTTAATATCACATTTTATATGAAATAAGTAGTACATATATCAGCAATACAAACGAATGTACAAATATCTAAAGACAAAAGTATCTCGTACAATAAGTAATTCTTATGTATAAATTCATTGCATAATAATTTTCACATAAACATTTCATATATTAAATTTTATATAACTTGTACTCTGTCAAACCTATAAGTGATTTCATAATCATAACTCATCATATGAAACTTATCTTTGTTGTATACTACATAGCAACTACAGATTTTCTCAGAATTCAAAAAATAAAACAAGTAATACTCCATCAAACCAAACTTGCACGTTTCTAGAAAAAAGAAATTTTATTTATTTATTTTGGTTAATAAGCTTTTCGAAGTTTTTTTTCCTTAATTTGTTTTTTTTTTTACTCTGTTTACCCTACTAAAAATAAAATAAAATAAATCAAAATCCTTTTCTACCAGTGAGCCTCTTCTCTTCTCCCTCTCTTTGGTCTCGCATCCTCTGGGACTTTCGAACAATAAGCAAAAAGCCATTAGACTCTGTGGGGTGCTTTCAAGAATCTGAAGTTTTCATTACAACATCAGTTTCTCGCCTCTTTTTTAGATCCAGTATCAGGTCATTATACCGAAGCTGTTCTTTCTTATTCTACTTCATTATATACCAAAGATTGTAATTTCACCTGTATAATTTCCATAAAGATTATCTTTTTCGCATACTATCTTGCCTTTTTGATATGTTGGAAGCTCTTTAGGGGTTGAAAGTATCTGAAATTTATCTTTTCAATGCAATTTTTTCATAAAATGTGAACCTTTTCAGTTTAGAGGTATAATTTCCTTAAAGGTTCTCTTTTTCACATACCATCTTGTTTTCTTGATATGTTGGAAGCTGCAAAGGGGTTGAAAGTATCTGAAATTTATCTTTTCAATGCAATTTTTTCATAAAAATGTGAACTTTTTCAGTTTTGATATGTATCTGTACTTGTTATTATATGAAAATGGTCTCGAATAGAGCAGAATGGATATAGAGTATTTAGTTGATTGAACCCAAGGGTGTGGCATAGTGGCCAATGAAGTGGTTGAGAGCGGTGAGGTCTTAGGTTCAAATCCGGAGACAAAAACATTAGGTGATTCTTTGTATCTATCCTAACCTTGGTGGACAGAGTTACCTAGTGCCTTTTGTTGGTGGGAGGTGGCAGGTATCCCGTGGAATTAGTTGAGGTGAGCGTAAGCTGGCTTGGATACCACGGTCATAAAAAAAATGTATTTGGTTGATTGATGCATCTTTACTTGCTTTTTAAGTATTGAACCTAACTTATGATAAGACTTGCTCCCTTGGGAAGAGGGGTGTTATGGGTTTGGTGAAGAAATTTGAGGGTATGGATTTATTTTCTGTTTTTAGCTCTTAGGGTTTAAGGTATGCATTTATTTTCTATTGTTAGCTTAGGGTTTTGTTCATGTTGTTGATTTGCATTACTGTATTCTATTGTTTATCAATATCACTGTCTTTCTTTTTAGGTTGATTCTACTCGTGCTTTAGTTACCTTTATAATTCTCGCAAAAGCTCTATCATTTGTATTGCATCTTCCCCTGTTGATATATTGGAAGCTGAAAAGCAACCAATATCTGTCTTTTCAATGGGAAGTTATCATAAAAAACGTGAACTTTTTTCAGTTTTATGTATGTATCTGAACTTCTCTATGAAGCAAACTTATGATAAGAGTCACTCATTCTGAGGGGATTTGGGTGATTTGCCTGACGTTCTGGGTATACCTTCAGTTTCCGTTTGAGCTCAGTGTTTTTGGCCTTACTGATTCACATTAATGTATTCTATCATTTTAGTGAACTCCTTAGGCAATGTAGTATTGGAATGATTTGGGCCCAAATAGAGAGGAGTAGTTCCCCTGGATTTATATAGCCGAATCCAAATATATTTAGGATAACGTAGTTGGTTGGTACATTCTTTCTTTTGAGGTTAATTCTATACATTATTTAGCCTTTTTTCTCTCAAGTCATTTAGCAGTGTCAATTTAGACTAGCATGGCTTTCAATTGTGCCTTTCTTTTTGTTTTACTGTCTACAGGTCTGGAGGCTGTAATACATATGAATGGCGTGGAGGGCGGCTGGGAAAAAGGTGTGTTTTTAGGCCTCTTCTGTTCGGGTCAACTGAAAATCACTTCATAACTGATCCTTGACCTTTCAAATAGTCTATTTGCTTTCATACAAAAAAAAGAGTCTATTAGCTTTCCATGCTTGTACTTCATGACATCGACATCTATAACATTTCCATTAGCAAAAACAGGAGGGTTGTATGTTTAGAAGGTTATCTGGAACTGTCTCCTGCAAAGTGTTATTTTGGACCTATTTAGAGCTCTTATCTATAATTTTTGGATTTTGGATACTAGTCGTGTATCTTCATTTAGTGGACAGTATAGTTTCTCCAAAGAGGATGTAAACTGCATTGTCCAAATGAATTCCCAAAATATGTGCTGTTGTGCACTGCATTGACCAAATATAAGTTGGTTAATCACTTCTATTGGAAAGCTACTGCCCCATATTATCTGATTTTCCTCTCGTGGCTGCCAATGCACAAATCTACCCACCCCTGTCTACATATTATGTATTCTACTATGCCATTGTTGAGACTCCCTCTTTGCCTAGTTAGTGTGCTTTCGAGGTAGTTCTATGCAGACTTTTACATGGAGTGTTTCTGCAGGGTACCTTCACTAGTCTTACAAAGGCATTGGCAGTGAGATCCAGGTATACTGCAGCATCAGTTTCCAAATCTAACCTTGAAGAGGTGCAGAGAACAATTCCAGTTTTGGTTGGACAAATACAAGGTCTGTACATTTGTTTTTCTTGATTTCTTCATGTACAAGGTCTGCACTTATTTCATTTGTTTATATTAACCATCTTCGGTACAAAGCCTGCACTTAATTTCATTTGTTTATATTAAGCATTGTGCTTAATCATCATCCTTTGAATAGTTTGTTTGGTGATTTTCTAACTCAGATGGGTTGCCAGCTCATCATCTTCCCTATTTTCTGAACTTGGTTTTTGGTACAGGAGGAGAGGCAAATAATTCTAGTTCTTGTTCCGCTGCTTGTAGAAGTTGTGTTTTTTTTCCACGCCCCTTGAAATTCAAAAGTTTTAGTTTTACTAAGGCCAATTATTTGTGCTACATCTGGGTGAAATGCTTCTTATTTTCTAATTCTTGGCTATATTTTCCGAGAGCTGAAATTAAATGAGAACTTGGCTTCAGATGATGTACAGGCATGTATCATATGTTTTCCCTTTATACTGCAGGATGCTTCCTGCATGCAGCTCAATGGAAGTCGAACTGTACCAACCTCCTAACTTACAGAACTTCGATAAGGTGAAGTCCACAACTTTACTATAACTTTCCCAAGGATTTTTTGGTTAATTCATTTATAAGAGTAAGTGACATCAATCTGATGATAAGTTGTGTTCTAAGAAATATGGAATTAGATGAATAAATTTACTAAATAAAAATCTTGATTCTTGTTGCAAATTGGGTAATGACTAATGGTAAGCTACTTAACACCCAACTGCTTTAGAATGCAAAGGGAATCTTTTTCCTATAAACAACGAGGCAAGTGCTGATGTTCAAGATTCTAATTTTATGTTGTATTCAACTGCGGCAGAAAGTAGCTAGAAGAACACTCTAGTGCTTTTCAAAGAACTTTACCTTCTCAACAACAACAACAACAACAACAACAACAACAACAACAACAACAACAACAACAACAACAACAACAACAACAACAACAACAACAACAACAACAACAACAACAACAACAACAACAACAACAACAACAACAACAACAACAACAACAACAACAACAACAACAACAACAACAACAACAACAACAACAACAACAACAACAACAACAACAACAACAACAACAACAACAACAACAACAACAACAACAACAACAACAACAACAACAACAACAACAACAACAACAACAACAACAACAACAACAACAACAACAACAACAACAACAACAACAACAACAACAACAACAACAACAACAACAACAACAACAACAACAACAACAACAACAACAACAACAACAACAACAACAACAACAACATTAGTGTGATCCCATAAATGGGGTTTGGGGAGGGTAGAATATATGCAGACCTTGCCCCCCCTACCTTGTTGAGGTAGAGAGGCTGTTTCCGAAAGACCTTTACCTTTCAGCCAAAATGAGGATAAGACATTTTCCACAAGCTAAAGAACTTGAATCCCTAAGAAGTTAAAAGATGGATCAGAAATAACTTTTTGCTTTTCATAATGAACTTGTTGGTTTGGAAAGAGTTCTATCAACCATTTGCTAATTATGTTATTCTTCAACAATCTTTTGCTAATTATGTTGTGCTCAATTGGAGATCTCTTACTAATTAGCTAGAAGAACACTCTAGGGCTTCCAGTTTTTCCTGTTGAAGGAAATCCCTTTCAGATGCTGAAGGGAATGATCTTTCAACCATTTCATTCTACAATTGCTGGTTTCTTAAATGCTTTTCTTCTCTCCGTGTGGTTGAGAAGGGGGAGGATTATGGGAGAAGAAGGATTGTTGGTTTGTGAAAAAACTATATTTGAAGCGAGCACAAAGTTTGATTCTTTGAAAAGTTTTTGGTCTGCAGATTAGTAGTCTATAATCACGGCTATCAAACCGGCAAATCACAAAGGGAAAATTACATTAGTGAAACAAAATTTTCAAACACTTCAAGAAAAAGTTTACAGCTAGGCGGTGCAATGAAGGGAATCAGTATTGGCTAGGCGGTGCAATGGAGGGAATCATTATTAGCAAACAAAATGCTTTAACAGTTTCCTTTCAGCAAAATGCTTAAGAGTATATTTTAGCACTCATGTACCAAAAGACTTACCAAAAAAGTGGTGGATGCTACCTGCATTGTCCAGTAATAAGAATTTCAGTGAAGGGTTAAATCTTGAAATAGATTGCTGAATAATGAAACTCAGGAATTAAGACTTGTGCAACTCAGGAGGTAGCTGTTAAGCATCAATTTGAGTGGAAACTTTTATGCAAGAATAACAGGTTTAGCCAGGTTTTTTTATCAATAATTTCAAACAACAGGCAATGGACAGTGATAAAGAAAGAGAATTCACTACATCTTTAGAGAATACACTACATCTTTTGCCTGTTCTTTTTCAGTTGGGGTCTCAATTGTGGTGAAGATTGACATCAAAACATTAAATCTTACTCAACAAAGGAATTGGTTTAAGTTTAAAATAAATTTTCGTTGTGACTTGCAAGTTAACTGAAGTTTTACGTGACATTGTGTGGAGATGTGTTTTTTTTTTTTTTTTCAGATTAGTGGTTTGCCATGGTTAAGTAATAAGTTTGGCAGAACTGAATAATGTTACTTCTAAAATGGTCGAGTTGGTTATCAATGGGTGAGCTGTTATTTTTCCCTTGAAGTTAATTGCACTTCTTTTATAACACTCCAAAGAAAATAAGGATAAATTTGCACAGTGGTTTCTTCTTTGAGGGTTAATCTGAACATCGAAAGGTGAAATTTAAGATCATAGGCAGCGTGATAGAGATAAAAGACTGTGGGCAGCCTGAAAAACCTAACAGTGTTATCTTTTGGTTGACGTAATAGAGATAATATAGTTTGTTTTTTTCCTCTAGGTGTTTTCATGCCAGTCCAGAAACACTGGCTTGGAAAAAAGAACCAGAAGCTCTGGGTTTGAAGATACAGAAGAAAGGGAAGTTCAAGAAAAGGACAAAGGATTCCTCACCACCCGTTGAAGCTCCTTATGTCCCTCCCAAGCTAAAAAGAGCTGCTAGCTCCTCCTTATCAGATAGAACTGTAGAGATATTCGAGGGCATGACAATTGTTGAGCTGGCCAAACGTTGTGGCGTGTCAATACCTGTCGTGCAGGATATTCTTAAAAATGTGGGGGAGAAGGTTGACTCGGAATATGATCCTCTTAGCATCGACATTTCCGAGCTTGTTGCGATGGTAAAGCAATTTTTTTTCCTTTCTGTTTTTCAATTTGAGTGTCTGACCTTCCAAGCAGGATGCTTTCTGTGGTTATGGACTAATATAATTGTTTTCTTGTTCCCTTTGCAGGAAATTGGAGTAAATGTTAGGAGGTTGCATTCTAACGAAGGTGCTGAAGTCCTGCCACGTCCACCAGTGGTCACAGTGATGGGTCATGTTGACCATGGTAAAACATCTCTTTTAGATGCTCTACGTCTGACTTCTGTGGCTGCTAAGGAAGCTGGAGGCATAACTCAGCATTTGGGAGCATTTGTTGTTGGAATGTCTTCTGGGGCATCAATCACGTTCCTTGACACTCCTGGTCATGCGGCATTTAGCGCTATGCGACAAAGAGGTGCAGCGGTTACTGACATTGTTGTATTGGTAGTGGCTGCTGATGACGGTGTTATGCCACAAACGCTGGAAGCAATGTCCCATGCAAAAGCTGCTGATGTTCCAATCGTTGTCGCTGTCAATAAATGTGATAAGCCGGCAGCAAATCCTGAAAAAGTGAAAATCCAGCTTGCAACAGAAGGGTTGGCTCTGGAGGAGATGGGTGGAGATATTCAGGTTGTTGAAGTCTCTGCTGTAACAAAAACTGGATTGGATAAGCTGGAGGAGGCGTTGCTTCTCCAGGCTGAGATGATGGATCTGAAGTCGCGTGTAGATGGACCAGCCCAAGCTTATGTCGTCGAGGCAAGGGTTGATAGAGGACGGGGTCCATTGGCTACTGCAATAGTGAAAGCAGGAACCCTTGTCTGTGGTCAGCATGTTGTTGTAGGTGCCGAGTGGGGAAAAATCAGGGCAATTAGGGATATGCTAGGAAAATCAACTGATAGGGCTAGGCCAGCTATGCCTGTAGAGATCGAAGGACTCAAGGGGCTTCCAATGGCTGGTGATGACATTATTGTCGTTCACTCTGAGGAAAGGGCAAGGATGCTTAGCGCAGGGAGGAAAAAGAAATTTGAAAAAGATAGACTTGGGAGGAAGATGGACGCAGAAAAATTAGGATCTCTAGTATCAGAATCTAATTTAGAAGATGAAGAAGGTGAGGTTGAAGAGAAGCCCAAGAGGGTTGAAATGACAATAATAGTAAAAGCAGATGTTCAAGGAACTGTCCAAGCTGTTACAGACTCATTGAAGAGTTTGGATAGTCCTCAGGTGAGACAAATAGTGTTTCAGATGCATTGATCAGCTCTGTTTTAGTGTTCATCTGCATTTTTCATACTTTTTAGAGAAACTTCAGTTTCAAAATTGTGAAAATTGTCCTTTTTTATAGGTTTTCGTGAATATTGTCCATGGAGGTGTTGGGCCTATTTCTGAGTCCGACGTGGATTTAGCACAAGCTTGTGGTGCATTTATTGTTGGGTTCAGCATACCAACTCCACCTGGTTCAATAAATCAAGCAGCAAATAAAGCTGGCATTAAGGTGCTTTTTCTTGTCAATACTTAATGTGGTCGCCGTTTCTCATTTGAATGCTCCTAGTACACGCTGAAAACGTTAAGCTCATACTTATTGTGATTTTGTCGCAGATAAAAATCCATCGTGTGATCTATCATCTTCTAGAGGATATTGGCAACTCTATTGTTGAAAAAGCCCCCGGTACATTTGAGACGCAGGTTTCAGGCGAGGCACAGATACTGAGCATATTTGAGCTTAAAGGAAGGAGCAAAGCTAAGGGAGATGACGTCAAGATAGCTGGTTGTCGTGTGATAGATGGCAGACTCATCAGATCATCAACAATGAGGCTTCTTAGAAGTGGTGAGGTTGTTTTCGAAGGATCTTGTGCATCGCTAAAGCGTGAGAAGCAGGATGTTGAAGCAGTTGGAAAGGGGAATGAATGTGGACTTGTGATTCAAAACTGGGATGACTTTAAGGTTGGAGATGTCATCCAATGCTTGGAGCAAGTCAACAGAAAACCCAAATTTATTTCATCTCAAAGTGGTGCTGTCAGAATAGAATGTTGATAGAATTTTCACTAAGAAATGAGCAATCTTTTTTTTGGCAATGTAGAAACCTTTGCCTCATTAATCTTCTATTTATTCTTATTAATAATACTATTGAGTAGAAATAAAACAATTTTGCTGTATAAAACTCTATATTGAACTCTTTACACTGAACAACAACAATTACAGAGTGTATGGTCATAGCTTTTGTTCTTCTCAATTGTTTGGAGTAGTCTCTAGTGGTGGAGCCACCCTTTTAATACTGTCCGAGTTGTTGACCATCACTTGACCTTACACGAGGGCTTCATGTCTGAGTTATTGACTATCACTTGACATTGGGCTCCGTGTCTGAGCTGTTGACTATCACTTGACTTCATTCGAGGGTTTTGTGTTCGAGTTGTTGACTATTACTTGACATGAGGGATGGGCCTCTTGCCCTCTCCCCATATTATACTAAAAGAAGTGAATATGTTGCTAGTTTAGCAATAATACAAAAAGTGGTAAATATTTGTAGCTAAATCAATTGGAATAGATTTACCTGAAGTAGACTCTTCTTGGAGGAGAAATCTAACTGAAAGAAGGCAAATGGAATAATGGGACAAACACACATTATGAAGAGTATTTTAAAGAATATGAAAAGATTGACCATAATAAATATCATGGAGAAGATAAAACTACACCTATGTACAACCAGTAAAAATCAAGAAATTTAATATTAATATAAATGAAGAATGTAAAAAGACTCTATGGAAGATGAAAGAAATAAAATTTAATGAGTAAAATAATTTAGGGAACTTATACACATGTGACCTGACCATAATTAATTGTTGTTACACAATGTCTTCCTCACCCTTACCAAACGTTTTTGTTCCTCTAAACATGTAGTGAAGGAGAAGGTGAAAGAGATAAAAAAATTATGGCAGTAAACATTTTCAGAAAGCATTAATATAGTATTTGGATTCATTGAATTTGAGGGGCTAATGAATTTTGTTATATTTTCTTATGTAAACAAAAGTTATTTAAATGAAGATTTGCTTTTATTTCAAGGATAAAATGGTAAACTAATTTTTAATTCATTATTATTATGGATATTAATTATTATTTATGAATAATAACTCAACTTTATAGGGTTATTTTGGTATTTCAACTTTTAAATTAATTAATTTACCAAGTATGTAATTCATCATTAGTTTGTGCTAATTATAACAGAAGAAAATCAAAAGTTTAAACGATTGCAAGCTTCCATAGTAAGTATTTATTGAAGCAATAACTTAGCATTTAATATAATTTTATGAATATAATTTATCTGAAATTTTTTATAACTCTGCACGGTAGGAGTAACTGAGGTACACTGAAGGGTCATTTTAACGGTTGCCAAACTTTTTGATTTCCTTTTGTCATTTAATAGGATATCATCCAACTGTACAAATATTCATTGTATCTATATTAATTCATGTCATAGATTGTGAGTTGTCCATTTTTAGAATATTAATATTATTATTAAAAATATATTAGGATATTTATTATAATTAATGTGTATTTATATTTTTGTTCATAAATATGTAATAATAGTGTTTAATAGAAAATACAATAGTTTTTATTAATATTTAATGTATATTTACATTTTTGTCCATAAATATTATGATGTTATAAGGACATTTTTGTAATTCAACTTTTGACATAGAGGCTTCCCACTTATAATATAATATATATATATGATGATCCATAAATATTATGATGTTACAAAGACATTTTTGCAATTCAACTTTTGACATAGAGGCTTCCCACTTATAATATAATATGATATGATGATATGGTATTCAACAAACAAGAATGGAGTTATGTTATATTGTACACACAAGCTACTTGAAAAGTTCATTGAAGTTGAGGGGATCAAATAAAAGATTGTTCTTGGAGCTGAAATTGTTCGAAATCTTACGGAAAATACTTTTTTACAAACATTGTAGGAAATTCTCATAGTTTGAGGTGTTTAGACAAGAAAGGTAAATTCCAAAACTTTTGATTTTATTACTTTTTTTTTCTTGATTTGATATACTTTAGCTAGTTATGTTAATGTGTTTTGTTCACTTTTAAGTTCAAAGATTAGTGCTTTAAGATTCGATTACACTAGAAATAAAGTCAGGATTTGAAGTTTATGAGTTTGGATCCTAGTCTTTTCTGAGTTATTGAGTTTTAAAATAGTGTTTTGTATATACATTTGATGAATATTTTACGATAATATAGAGTTCGGACTAAAGCTATTGAGTTCTGCTGAATCCGTAAGGGAAGGTCTAGGCAGAGAAATGGTGAACAAAAGCAAAAACACATGTAGGTGCTTTTCAAACTAATAATCAGTGTTGACAATGAAGCAAAAGATCTTCACAATAATGGAAATGCTTGTTTATGATATGCTCTCTCTTTAATCTGAAAGTGGGACCTTATTTGATTAAAGTAGATGCTCTTTTTGTACATTGTAAATAGACACTCAAACTCGGACTCAACTAACAAGTAAACACTTCAACTTTGAGAGTGCACATCTAGATATCTCAACTAACAACTAAACACTCCAATTCGTCTCCTATGTGTCTCGCAAACACCCTATGCTGATGTGACAGGTAAATTTGGATGTGTCTAGATGATCATTTTGAAAGTTGGAGTGTTTAACTCATGACACAATGGAGATGAGTTGAGGTGTCTAGACGTGCATACTCAAAGCTGGAGTGTTTAATTAGTTGCCAGCTGAGGCCAAGTTAAAGTATTATGCCTTATAAAAAGCACCAGCTTTGAAAGAGTAATGATTTGCACTTTCAGCTGTTGGCATCTTGCAATCAAAAGGTTATTTTACTTCTGAACTGACTGTTTCTTGATTATGATTGTTTACGGGATTTTTTTAAAGTCTGAACATGAAAAATTGTATAATACTGGACTGAAACGAGCTTAAATGGAGAAACATTGTTAGTGAGGGTTCATTTAGTCGTCGACTCCACTTGCTTGAGATGGAGGGCATTGTAGTAATCGTTGCTGTCGTTATGAAAATCCAAATGAACCTTTCCTGTTATATTTTGTCTTTTGAATACTCTTACATGATTGTTACACATTAGTGGATACAAAATTTTAATTAGTTTTTATTCTTTAGATTATCAGGGATATATAATCATGGATCTCTGGCTGGTTTTCTGTGGGAAGTATGAGTGTTCACAGAAGGCTGGAGAGAGTTGCAGTTCAACTTTTCTTGATCCATTTTCATGCACCAGTCACATATTGGTCATTTTTGCAAATATCCTGCTTCTGATGATTCTTGTTTTCCTCTTTTCTACCAAGTTTTCATCAAGAAAGAGCGTGTCGTCTTCTGAGTTCCAAGGCAATTCTATCTTGTCAAGTTTTTCCTACATTTTCAATGGCAGTTTAGCTTTAGCATACTTGAGTTTTGGGACATGGAAAGTTTTGCAGAAACTCATCGCGGAACAAACTGCTCTACCGCTACTTCAATGGCTAGTTCCGTTGTCACAAGGGCTCATGTGGTTGCTGCTGAGTTTACTTTCCATTTACAAGAAGCAGTATACTTCTTCACCAGGGAAGCTATGTGTTTTTCTTGCAAGCTTACTAGCAGCATTTCTTTGTATTTCATCCGTATGGCAAGTAATCGTAGAGAATGTAGTGTACGAAAAATCAGTCTTGGACATGTTACCACTACTAGGAGTGATTTTAATGACCGTTTCTGCATCCAAAGGCCAAAGGAAATTAAGCACTTGTGAACCTCTTCTGGGAGAAGAAGCCGATAATGCCCGTGGTAAAGTTGAATCAAATGAGAATACAACTCCATTTGCAAAAGCTGGAATATTTAGTAGAATGTCATTTTGCTGGTTGAATGATTTACTGAAGAAGGGCAAGGAGAAAACTCTCAATGATGAGGACATTCCAGAGTTGAGGCCGGAGGATCAAGCTGGGACGTTGTACTCGTTGTTTAAGGATCAAGTAAATAAAAGAAAGCAAAAAAGTTCAAATGCTCGGCCTTCTGTATTTTCAGTGATAGTCTGCTGTCAATGGAAAGCCATTGTGGTATCTGGATTGTTCGCGCTGATTAAGACGGTGACTGTGTCAATAGGGCCCTTGTTTCTTTATGCCTTCATTGAACTTGCTAAAGGAAATGGAGCTTTCAAATATGAAGGTTATGTGCTAGCCGGGGGAATCCTTATTGCTAAATGCATAGAATCATTAGCAGAGAGGCAATGGTTTTTCAGGACTAGATTAATCGGTCTTCAAGTTAAATCCTTGTTAACTGCAGCTATATACGATAAGCAACTCCGCCTTTCAAACACTGCTAAGAATACTCACTCACCTGGTGAGATAATAAATTATGCTACAGTTGATACCTTTAAAGTTGGTGAATTTCCATATTGGTGTCATCAAATATGGACAACGGGCGTTCAGGTATGCATTGCATTAGTCATAATGTATTATGCTGTAGGACTGGCTACCGTACCAGCTCTACTATTAGTTGTAGCAAGTGTGCTAGGAAATTCTCCGGTTGCCAAATCACAGCACAAGTACTTGACAGAGCTTATGATCGCGCAAGACAGAATGCTAAGGGCCATAACTGAAGCTCTTACTAGTATGAAAGTGTTGAAGTTATACGCGTGGGAGAAGCATTTTAAGAATGCAATTGAAAAGCTAAGAGAAAACGAATACCGATGGTTATCAGCAGTGCAGATGCAGAAAGGCTATTACCTGGTTTTGTTTTGGTCAACGCCAATTATAGTATCTGCGGTTACTTTCTGGTCTTGCTACTTACTCAAAGTCCCTCTTAATACCACTAATGTCTTCACATTCCTTGCCACTTTACGCATTGTTCAGGAACCTGTTAGGTCAGTTCCTGATATTCTTGGAGTATTCATAGAAGCAAAAGTCTCTTTATCTCGAATTGTGGAATTTCTTGAGGCTCCCGAGTTGCAAAACAGACGTATTGAGCAGAAGTACCGGGGGAAGGAACTTGAGCATTCCATAATCATCAAGTCCAATGGAATATCATGGGATGCAAATTCACATAATCCTGCAGTGAAAAGTGTAAACCTTCATGTCAAACAAGGGCAAAAGTTAGCTATCTGTGGAGAGGTTGGTTCTGGTAAGTCAACTCTTTTAGCTGCAATCCTCGGAGAGGTTCCATACGTTGATGGCTTGGTAAGTTTTACGTTGACTTCTCATTCTCATTTAATTGTCAC